CGATACATTGGACCATATGAGATTACTGAGCGGATTGGTCCAGTTGCATATCGATTAGATTTGCCAACTGAATTATCTCGGATTCATGATGTTTTTCATATCTCCATGCTTGGCAAGTACATTGCAGATCCTTCTCATGTTCTAGAGTTTCATCCATTTCACTTGAAGGAGAATTTCACTTATACAGAAGAGCCTGTGAGAATTCTAAACAGAAAGGTTCAAATTCAGGGAAACAAGATAATTTCATTTGTTAAGGTACTTTGGTAGAATCAGACAGTAGAAGAGGCTACATGGGAGCATGAGGATCAGATGCGTGTTCAATATCCTCATCTATTCGTTACCTAATCAGATGCCAGTTGAATTTCGAGGACAAATTCTTTTAAGGAGGTAAGATTATTACAACTCAAATTTCATAATCAAAAATTCAAATGTTGACTAGTCAGAGTCAAAGTCAATTAAGAACTTAAATAAAATAAATGATTTTATTGGGACTTGAATTGACTAAAATCTTTTATTGGGGTTTATTTTACAATTGACAATATATGAGGGTAAAATTTGATACAATTTGAAGTTGAAAATTTACTTATACATTTTTGGGAAGTTTAGGATTTAAATGTTAACTCATATTAGAGAAGAGTGACTTTTCTTGCAAATTGGAGTTAATGGGATTTAAATGCTTTTGACCCATTTCTTTTTTCTCTAAAATCACACACACACAAGAAGCAAGAAAAATAATCGGCAGAGGAGAAGAAAAAATCGGCAGAAAGAAAAGGAGAAAGAAAAAAGGGAAGAAAAAGAAGGAGAAAAAGGAAAATGGAAGAAGAAGAAGAAAGGAAAGAGATAGTTCGAGGTCTATTTCCATTTTTGCTTTCTCTTTATTTTCTTCAAGAGGTAGATAAATTTTATGTTAAAATTCTAGGGTTTTATTTTGGCTCGAAATTTTCATATTTTTGAGATGAATACTACTTGGAGATCAAGTTATTGATTCTTGAATTTCTATTTACACTAAGGTAAGAAGATATCAATTTTATTTTTTTTGGGCAAACCCTAGTTTTTAAATTTGATGATTAAGCATGGATTATTTGTGAAAATGATTACATTAATGGAATTATTCACTTGTGTTGATATCCGAACTCCGACCTAATATAAACAGATCGCTAACCCTACCTCAGTTAAATGTAAGTTCGGCCCATACTCTCAGGTTTGACAACCCTGCCGTTATCTCAGAAAAATATCATGATTATCCCTTGTCACATCACCCTATCAATCAGATACACTTGCCACAAGTGACATCATCGCCGTCCGAAACAACCAATTCTAAGTCCTCAAACTCCAGCCCCTTGCAGGTCATCATTACCTAGGTAACACATTGATACATGACCACCGGCCTCATCGACCAATCACAGGAGAATTCAGCGACTCGAGTTTCAAGCTCGGGACTGTTGCTGATTTGACTTATTTAATGTAATTTCGGCTGAAACTATGTATAAATAGTTGGATAGGACTCTTGTAAAAGGCAAGTGATTTCACACAATAACTCAAGGCATAATTACACTCTCTAAACATACTTTGTGGTCTTTTTTCAACAATAAATTGCCCTTTAATCTTAAAGTTGGCTTAAGATTAGTCTTGCTAATTTTGACGTCCACAGTCTGGCACTAGAAGGAGGGCCCTAATTGTGAAAAATAGTCTCATTCTCTGCACAAAATCTAAGAGTCATGAGTCGTAGTTCAAGTTCGAAAAATCAATCTCACACCCACCCTCACGAAACGAACACACCACCAAGTTCTCCACGACGGCAGAACCCTCAAATAACCATCATGAGAGAAGCCCTGGAAAAATTGACGAACGTAGTGGGACGGTTGGAAAGGAGTCAAGCCCACTCGTCCCCACCAAATATCGAGGTGGAATCCCCCGTAAGGACATAGGCAAGGCGTCCCCCCACCAGGAGGACTCTTCACTTTTCAAGGAGAGTATCCTCCAGAAGCTGAACTGACGAGGTCAGAAATAAGGAACCTGAGGCGAGGAGGACTGCAAGCATGTTCGACAGATTGGGACCCAGCAATCACTGACTCCTATACAAGGACAAGCTGACCTGAAACATCTGTTGGAATAAGCAGATGCCGAACTAAGTGCACTTAAAAACGCATCGCCGACCTGGAGGCTAAAAACAAAGGTGGCACTGAAGATTACCAAACCAAACGACATTCCCCTTCACTGAGGATGTCCGTATGGAACCACTGCATGAAAAATTGAAAATTCCCCAGATCGCCGCATACGAAGGAGATGGTGATCCCCTCAGCCACCATGACAAATACACCTCGTGGATGGAACTACAGGAGGCAAGCAATGCAATCATGTGCCGGGCATTCCCCTTGACTCTAGGAGACAAAGCTCAAAGATGGTTTAGGAGACTGCATGAGCGGTTGGTAAAGAATTGGAATGATCTGGCCACGGTGTTCTTGGCCCAGTTCATGGGCTTCAAAGCCGAAACCACGCAAAAGGAACGACTAGTGAGCATCAACCAGGGAAGAAGTGAATCCCTCAAAAGCTATATGACTAGGTTCAACAAGCAATCCATGGAAGTGGAAAAAATATCTGACGATGCGGCACTCATGGCCGTACTAGCAGGATTGAGGCCCAGAACAAGATTCTGGTGGTCAGTACACAAGGACGGTCCAATGACTTATCATAAGTTCCTTAACCGAGCTGAGAAATACATAAGTACTGAAGAAGCGACCTCTGATCAAGAGGAGGAGACCTCCGAACCCGACCTCAACAACACAGTAAAGGAGAAAAAACCAAGCGCAGCCCCCAGCCCGAAAAAAAGAAGGACGGGAGAGAAAGAAAATGTCCTAGGGCTCAGCCATACAAATTTCGAGAGTACCACCCACTCAAAGTCTCCTTGGAAGAGGTATTCATGCAAGCCAATGCGAAAGAGGCATTTCGTAGACCTATGATCCTAAAGGATAGACAGGTAGGACAACATCAGGGACGATACTGCTGATATCACAGGATTGCGGGCCATGATACTGATAACTGTCGGGACTTAAAAGAGGAAGTTGAGTCCCTAATTCGAAGAGGTCGGTTACAGAAGTTTGTTGCCAAGCCAAAAGAAGCAGATCCACCTACGACACAGCAGCCGCTGCTATAGGGGCCTCCCACGCGAATCCAGCAGGCAGTCCCCAACCGTAATCCACCCTCACATGCTGAAATCAAGATGATGGTGGGAGGAAATCAGTATGTTGAGGAATCCAGAAGGGCAAGACGAAGACAAGCCCGAAGTGCATGCTAGTTAGCTGCAAGCAAAGAATGAAGAATTGCTTATACTTAGGAAAAATAATACCTGGACTTTACTCTCAAGATAGTCGACTATACATGTAATAGGAAGCAAATGGGTTTATAAATCAAAAATCAAATCAGATGGTTCTTTAGAAAGGTTAAAAGCGCGTTTGGTAGCTAAAGGCTACAATCAAATTAATGGTGTTGACTATCATGAAACATTTTCACCATTGGTTAAATAAGGAACCAATCGTATTGTACTTTATCTTGCTCTTGTTAAGACTTGGAATATTTGGCAGCTTGACGTGAAAAATGCTTTTTTGAATGGTAACTTATTTGAAACTGTTTTCATGGCTCAACCACCAGGCTTTTGCATGATAAATTCCCTACACACATTTGCAAACTCAATAAAGCTCTCTGTGGACCCAAACAAGCCCCTCGGGCTTGGTTTTCCGATTCAGTACATATATTAAACTTATGGTTTTTCTTGTAGCAAAGCTGATCCTTCTTTGTTTATTTACCACAAGGGTCATGACATCTTTGTCTTACTTCTTTATGTAGATGATATGATCTTAACCGAATCAAATATGCCTTTGATTAATCAATTTATCAAAGTTTTACATCGAGAGTTCAAGATGAAAGATCTTGGATATCTTTATTACTTCTTGGGTATACAGGTAAAAAGAAACAAGCACGGTTTATTGTTATCTCAAGAAAACTATGCGATGAAAATTTTACAACGAGCTGATATGGCTGGTTGCAAGTCTATTCAAACCCTATGCCTTCCAAAAAAATTGTTGTAGTAGATGACACTCCTTTCTCAAATCCCACCAAATTCTGAAGCCTAGTAGGTGCCTTGCAATACTTAACTTTCACTCGTCCTGACATTTCCTACAGCGTAAGCTATACCTCTCAATTTATGCATTGTCCTACTAATACTCACTTTTAGATGATCAAGAGAATCCTGCAGTATATTTAAGGTAGTTTATTGCTTGGTTTGCAAATTCGGTCCAAATCCATGCTATGGTTGTTTGCCTCCACAGATGTTGATTAGGCTATTTGCTTGATCACCAGGCGTTCCATATCCGGTTATTGTACCTTCTTAGGTAGCAATATCATATCTTGGTCAGCCAAAAGCAACCTACTGTCTCTCGATCAACTGCGGAGGCTAAAAGGTCAACCTTGTTAAGAGGAGAGTCCAAGATCTTATAAGTTGGTTTATATTTTCATTTTTATTTAACGTGAAATTATGTCCCTTAACATGCCCTCGCAAAATGGTTGCTCGTTTGAGCAAACCAATCTTGAAATTCGTACGCTCATTTATTGAGTTTTAATCGGATTGAATTGCTCGTTGGAGCTTAATGGGCTCTAATACCATGTTAAGATTCGGGCTCCTTGAAGCAGTCTGCACATGCTTTGTTGGAAATGACACATTAAAACTATTGCCTGGCTGTTGTCCAGTTAAAGCGGATTGTTACATCATGGCTTTATTCTCCATGCAGTGCATAAGAGATGAGTCAGAAACCGCTTCATACGATCTTGAAACATATGCATTTTCTAAATGTTTTCGCTTCGTTGGGACAAATCTTGATGACTTGCTATCTTCGAATACCACTGTGATATCATATTTGCTTGTTTCTCCTTCATCTTCTTCAAATGCATTAGATTGAGATTCAAAGTCTGCTACAGCATCACATGCAGATGTTTCAACTTCCTCTTGCATGCTATTGCCAGTTTTCTCGCATTGAAGCACATGAGATTCAATTAATCTTCTGTAGACCCCAATGGGGACTGTATAGAAGAGATTTTCTTTTGTCAAATGATCCTTCCATGACATCTCTAAGAATCCCGTATTGGATATTCTATCTGGAGTCACTGAGAATCTCAGCTTCGCTGTGAATGACATGTGACTTGTTATATTTTAGAAATCTCCCTATATACAGTTGAATGCCAAGTGCAACGTCCTTTTCGGGACGGATTTCAAGATTGTTCTGCTCCAACGAGCCACCATCTTGCGAGAGCATGTTAAGGAATAAAATCTCACATCGATTAAAGATGAAAACATAAATCAACTTATAAAGGATTGGATTACTCCTCTTAAAAATATTTACCTTTTAAAATGGAACCTCAAGTCTTAACATGGTATTTGCAATTACCCATCTTCGATTCATTCTCTATCTGTCTATATAATAGATCAAATTATAGTATTTTTAGATAATCTAAATTATGTTTAATGTACTAGAATAGATAAAAATACCTTTTGAAAATTTTGAAGCCACCATATATATTTTGATATTAAAGTATGCAATGTATTTGTTGTACTTTTGATAATTTTTGAGATATTGATTATTTTTCATTAGTTCTATAATATGTAGAATATCCATATATATGAAACATAAAATGCACGGAAAGAAACATAAGCATTTTTTTAATCTCTTTTCATCATTATCAATTTATAAATTACACGCCTCATTTGAAAACTTCTAGAGCTAGAGATATCTTACGTGGTCCAGTTTTATTTAGTTTGTTTCCAGGTAAACGAATTTGTATGGAAAAAAATTGATGCTAATTTAATTGAGTTGGTCCAGTTATTGTATTGTCTAATATCGGAAAAATATTTACCTGTTTTGTTGATTATTTATAGCTAAGATAATGTGTGTGGATCTCTAAATTATTGAGAAAAAATCTAGAAAAAAAAATTTAATTAAAAGAAAAATAATTATAAGGAAATCAACGGAATATATTATCTATACTCAATCTTGATTTAATATTTTTAAAAAATAAAAATTAGAATACTTTAACATCGGGATGTTAATTTCATGTAATTTAGCACTCAAAAAAATCATTACAATATCAAGAGATAGATGTTCAAATATGAATTGATTCATGAATAAAAATGAATAATTGGAAGGAATGAGAAATTCTCAAAATTATTCCTAAAAGCTAGGAAATAATGAAGCATTGTCTTATTTTAAAGAATATCCAGCACTGCAACTATAACCCTTAAGAATGTTAAAACTCAACTTTAAATAAAATAGAAGAGACTGTCCCCTGTTGCAAGAGACTGGGTTTATTGAGTTAAGAACACACAATATACACATGTACAGTAAATCATTTGTATAGAAAAATCTGATTTCTCGATCCCAGAAGCTGTCGAAGGATAAACTCAAAACAAAGTAAACGTGTGGTGTTGACCCTCAATTTGTTGCATAATGAATTTATTAAAACTCGTCCTTGTAATTCACAATATTTTTATTTTTTAATGAAACATATAAGAATGTATCTCAAAACTATTATAATACCTAAGCAATGATCTCATCCGTCATGCACTCTCTAAATTTAATATCAACTTTGGTTTCATCTATTCCAACAGTGTCACAGCATTCACTTCGACCAATCTGAGGAAGAAAAATAATAATTAGAAAACAGGATATTTGAAACTATATATATGTCATATATCGAAAGTGAGAGTAGCCATCCTAATGTCCATTTTTTCCAGTATTGACGAGAGTACGTAGGAAACATGAATAATCGTGACTAATTTTATTGGAAATAAGGCTTAAATATGTTTTCTATATGAAGTAAAAAATGAGACAAAATCTTTGGAAAAAATAAAAAACATACATATCTAGTTGAGATTTAGAAACTTACATCACTGTGCTTTGCTGCTGGTGAGAAGACATTAATTTTTGAAATAGATTCTGCAGAATGATTTCCTGTTGATGAACAAGCCAGCAGCCCACGTGGCCATGCTCTTGAAAAACTGGTAAAAATCTCATTTTTTGGGGTTTTTTCTATAGATTCAAAAAAGAAAAGATGTGGTGCTTCACAAGGATCATTAGAAGGTCTTCTTGTGTTGAACATATAATGTGGTGGCCTTGGACTCCTTCCCCATGTTTTAAAGGTTTCAATGGGGTATTGTAAATAACTTCGTGGCATAATTCTCTCGTATATATGTGCAGAATAGCCCCAAGAAATGGAAAAAGTCCAGTTACTTAGCCTGTTATGGCAGATGGTTTGTTGCATCATCCGAGACTGGTCTACCTCCGCCGCCTTCATGAGGTGGCGCGTGGACTCAGCACGATCCATGGATGGAAATATTGGTTCCACTATGTCGAAATGGTGAAGGGACATGAGTGGAAATTGTGGGTGTGATGATAAGAAACCGGATACATCTCCACGCAAATCCATCTGTGACATTAGATTAAATAATTATAAAGTATATAAACTCTAGTTTAAAAAGGAGTTGAACCTTAAATTTTGGTGATATCTGAGGAGCACATTTTTTGACATTGCTTATTTTCTCGATAACACCAACGGGTCATGATTTTTTCTATTAACTGGGACTCTTTCTTCCCCATCCAATCGGGATGGTCTACAGGATTCATAACTGTTCTTCTTACGACATGACACTTACCTAGCTAACGTTTAGATTCGGTTATATCGAAACTTTTTTGATTCGTCCAAACATTCTTCACTTATTTGACTCTTGCTGAGTAATTTTTGGATATCAGACGGACCTCCCCACATTAATATTTCTTAGCATTTTATTAGCGGAATGTTTAACAATATATTTGAATGGTTCTAACAAAGAAAATTTAACAGAGAAAATATTTTTAGAATCAAAAGGGACGAGACATGTTATAAGTTACCTGGTGAATTCCTTTTAGGGGAGACAAACTTACTCCAATATCAGCTATACATGACATTGCCGTTAGATCAGCAGCCTTGAGATGCGCATATCTCTTGAGACAATTTTCCATGTCTTTAGCCAGTGCTTTTGCCAGAGGGGCACTCAACATGAATCCACCTCCACCAAAACCTTGGCTGAATGAGTACCAGTAATTCGAAAAAATAAACTCAGACTGCCCACCTAGGTAATAATACTTTGTATGATCTAACTTTGCAAGAACACCAACAATATTATCAAGAAAAAATATCGAATCGTCATCTCCCATTATAAGCCATCTGAGATTTTCGTGATCCTCTCTAAAAGCCTCCTTTACTCCATGAGCAATCCGTTGTGCCGTGACATCGGTTTTATCAAGAAATTTTGTGAGATCATCTGATACTTTGTAAGGAGGAGAAGCACCAGACCAAGGGAGGAGTCCTGCTGTTGGCTCTTTATCAAGAAACAGAAATCCCCTTGTAGTGTTTGGTCTCCACCATGATTCTATGTATGTTTTCCTATGATGCCATGCTTTTTCAGAGCCCACGAGGCCGAAAACTAGGTGGCTAAGATTTGTCTTCGAATCATTAGAAATGGAATTTGATAATGATGTTTTCCAGAAGGGAGAAAAAAACTCTGAAGCTGGACAGTTGGGATATTGATTGAAAAGGGCAACGAAAACAAAATAAAGGACCATACAGAAGACGAGAAGGGTTTTGCATAAGCCACCCACTTCTAAGTTACAATTAGATGATCCCATTTTCATCTTCTTGAAATAGCAGAGGTGTATCAGATTGAAAGGATCAAATATAAATTAGAAGTTGATTTGGGTGTGGCTTTTATGGTCAAACTTTGCTTCATACAGTTTGCTAATTCATGTGATCATGTACCGTAGAGCACACGAAGGAAATTACATGCACACATAAGGAATTACTGTTGAATTACATAATCTGTAATTTTATACAAACTGTTTAAAAGAGCCAAAAACAGTTTATAGTTAAGCTCTTTAACTTGTAGGCATCATTAGCATTACATCAGACGCGTAGCGTATGAAATTTTTATACGTATATTGATTGTTGAGAATTAGAAATACAAATTCTATTTCATCGAGAGTAATCAATTCGCGAAAGGAAAAATAGACACAAACATAAACATGCTAGATATAGTGTGAAACTACGCCATTTTCCGTCTTTGCAATAGTTCATTATGAGGAAAAAAAATTACAAAAGAGAAATTGAACATTCTATCTTCTATAACCCCATCTCTCTTTTTGATGATTATACAAAACTTTAGCGACGACTTTCAATTAATAAGATCAATTAAGGAAAAATCGTAATTACAAGTGTGAGATTCCTAAATTAGCATTAGTGAAACAACTTAACATGGACGGCATAACAAGTATTCGATTCGCACACTAACTATGCATAACGACAATAATTAGACTTCACAATTGAAAAAACTTGAACTCAAGTCATTTCTCATTCTAATTTGTCTTGTCATATTTGAAAAATTAAAACAAAAATAAATGAATAAAACACCTTTCACTTTTATACTTCATTAACAAGAAAACCCCTCCTACATAACTTTCAAGTAACAAGCAAAAAAGAGTTCCATAGAATGCATGTAATTAGCAGTCTAATCCTAAACAACTTTACGTACTTAATACGTAAATTCAAAATTAAGATATTAAAACTTGATTATAAGTGAACTTAAAAAATAAATTAAAGTCAAATAGCAGAAGTATAAACGCAACAACGCATTGATAATGATTTATAGACCTTAATATCACAATTAATATATACGCGTAATGCACCTTTGCTTAGGGCATGCGCGTATCATTTGTCAAAACTCTTAGTTCCTATTTGGTGTAACTTTAAAAATTGATAAAAATTTAAATCAAAATCAATAATAATTTTAATTATGCATTTCACATAACCCACAATTTTAGTCAATTTTTAAACTATATATTTAATCAATTTTTATCTAGATCTACTAACTTCACCAAACAGGAGTTTAACCACATGCACTTTTCACTATATATATAACTATCTCCAATTAAGTGTTTTTTTTTTTTTAGATCAGCTTGATGATGTTTTTAAGTATTTGAATTTTATGGAATATGTAGATAATAATTGAATCGTATGATAAAAAGAGTGGATAATAAATCATGAATCCTACAAAATATAAGAATAAACAATATATTTGACATGCTTGAAAAAATAATAATAATAATTTAAGTTCGGAAAACACGTGCCTACACGCCTAAAAAAAATGGAGAAGCAGGATTTAAAGAGAGAGAGAGAGAGAGAGAGAAGGAAACTACCTGTAAAGACCAGTTGAGTTTGCAAGTGATTTGAGCAATTTTTTATCAGTTAATTTTAAAGATAAGTTATACCCGATTCTAAAAACACCGCTTGAGTTAGATCACGACTATTTTTTTAAACAAGAAATTATACAAAACCCTAGTATTAAAATCCTGAATTCTAAAATCATGAGGAACGTTCACTTTTCAAAAATTAGATTTTTTATTTCAATTAATATTTTTTTAAATACATTATTTTACTAAATATATATACTCCAATACACACAAATCCTAATTAATTCCCTTCCTCCCTCCCTCTCTGAAATATATATTTCTCCCACAACCCGTCTCTCTCATTTTCTCTACATTTCTCCCACAATAACCCAGTCGCCTCTCTCCATTCTCTCATTACACAGCCTATCGTCGCCCGCCATCTTGAGAATCGTCGGCAAATCACCCACCGTCTATCAATTTCATGATCGATTTGACAGCGACTAGTGCACGCAGAAGCAGTTTTTGCGAAGCAGACGTACAATCGGTGCGGACAAAGTGGTGTTTTGTGTGATGGTGGTGATGATATTTATGTAGTGGCGGTGTCGAATATGGTGATTGTGGTGATGGCGGTGGATTTGGCAGTGAGGTGCGATGGTGGTTTTGGTTGTTAAGAGTTGGTGGTAGCAGTCTCCATGTTTTAAGGGTGGCGATGGCAGTAGACGTTAGTGGTCGTGGCAGTGGGTGCGGTGGTAACGGTGAGATGTTGGTGGCCGTGGTTTGTCGAGGTGGATGTGTTGATTTTGTTTGAGATGGTGACGTTGCTGTTGAGTGATAGCGGTGATGATGGCGATGATACTATTGGAGGTAATAGTTATTTGGTGGTGGTCACAGATTAATTGGTTGATAGTGGCCATTAAGTTGGTTAATTTGTGATCAATAAACAATATGTAACCAATAAAAATGAAAAATTGTAACCAAGAAATAATGTGTGACTTAAAAAAAGTGATTATTTAATAAGTTGTGACTTATAATATTTATGATCTGTAACATATAAATAAATTGTGACGTATAAATTTTTTATCTATGATCGATGAATAAAATGTAACCTACTAAATTTTTGAATTGTGACTGTAAAATAATTTGTGACATAAAAAAAATTCTAATTTGTGAAAGAAAAATAATATGTGGCTAATTAAATTGTAAATATGTGACGAAATTGTATAGATATTTAACCTTAATATATTTAATTAATAAAATATATAATTAATTAATTAATTAAATTATAAATAAATTTTAATTAATATTTTATTTTTGAAATTGAAACTTTTATTCTTATTTTGAAATGAGCAATAGTTATCCTCTTATTTATGAAATTTTTCCTTTTCTAAATTCGAGGATCGAATATGCCCATGAATTCGTCCATATTGGAAGCCAAATTAGTCCAACCCATAATTTGTTTTCTTTTTTCTATACGCTTCTTTTGTACTTTAAGCGTCAAAGTACTTCAAAAAAATAGTGTGATTTGTCAAAAAAAATAGTGTGATTTTGTCCTTGTCGGTGAATTAGATTTCAAAGTAACATTAGACGGGATGCTTAGTTATCAATTCTTTGCCTATTAAAGGATTTGGAACAGAATTCTTTTTCGAGACTAACGGATTCATGATTCAAAAGTTTATTAAGACGAATGAATCCAATTTAAAGTTGGTAGACGTTTTTCGCACAGAGAGTAAAGTTTTGGGACCAATCAAGTTCTTTACTCCCTAAAGAACTGTTGTTATTGATACTTTTGTGAGTGAAAAACTGGATCTAAAACATTATTTGGGCTCACTTTAATCTTTTGGATGGGCCAAAGGACTAAGAGTCCAAGCCCACACATATACTTTTTGGTTAAATTTGACCTAGTCAAAGGAAGGAAATTCCACTTTGACTTTGAAAATCATGAATATTATCACATTGGCCTCTTGAATGTTAAAAGACAAGGATGCCCTTAAATGTATTATACAATTATAAAATAATGTATTGTTGAAAAGACTTTACTACCCTTTTAGTTAATAATTGAAAACCAAATACTTCCCCACTTATAAAACTTCAAAACGAGCTTCCAAGACAGAAAAACTCTCATCTTTCATCTGCTTAAATCTCAACATCTCAAAAAAAGTTCAAACGCTGAAGTCGAAAATTTTTTTCGTATCAATTTTTTCAAATCGATAAGTATATTTACGCATGTTGAATTTCTTTTTCAGTAAATTAGTATACGTTTGAATAGAGAAAATTTATTTGGATATAGTAATAGTTAGTATTAATCTTACGTATAAAAAAAATTTAGACAGATCTATAATTTTTTTCTTTAGAACCGTAGAAGAAAAAATTAATGCGGAAAACAGAAAAGTAGTCGACTGTTTGGCTGTTAAACAACCAAACAGTCACTTGACTGTTGGCTGTGAAACAGCCAGACAGTCACGTGACTATCAGCTGTTTAACAATCGACAGTTTGGCTGTTTAACAGCCGACAGTCGGCTGTTAATAGTCGACTGTTTGTTGATAGCCGACTGTTGGCACTGATTTTTGTTGGCAATGCATTATTTTTTCTTATATTAATAAATGAAGTTGATTAAATCTATTTCCTTATGCAGATATGATAATCCCCGTATGTTATTTCAGTGATTTCGAATTGAATGAAAATAATCGGTGGGAATGGAGATGGACGAGTGACATACGTGGTTGTATTGCAATTCCCATAACAAAGAGTACACCATACTTAGAAATGTACCACGATTTGCAAAATAAGCTGAATGTCGATCAATCTCAATACAATATACAATTGAGATATCTATTCAACGGTTATGGGGATTCATCCATTCTGATGTCACCGGTATTCGTTACTAATGATGCTGAATTGAATTATCCATTAGAATTGAATAAAATGCATCGGACTCCGTCTGTTCTTGGTGTGACTTTAATTACGAAGAATGTTATCGAAGGTGAACGCGAAGATTCAGATAAGGCGGGTAACAATGATCGAGGTTTTGGGAGACAGTGGAGATAGTTTCTGAGATAGTTGCTTCTGATCGTGATGTCGTTGTTACATGTAGAATTTCGTCGACGGTTGAAGACAATGAGATTATAAACGAGTTTACAAATGAGAATTTGATTGATTTATCCCGACAGAGACATGAGTTGGTGGGAGATCACAGGTTGGAACAAGTGGACCGTCCTCCAATTCTTCCCGTGTGGCTCCCGATTATGAGGACTTGTATGTCGAGCAACTATTTGAAACCAAGAAAGATTTGCAGGAAGCTGTGCACTGGCTGGCATTAAAATATAATTTTGAGTTCAAGGTAAAGAAATCAAACAAGTCATTGTTGACAGTTGCCTGCATCGAAGGCAGCTGTAATTGGCGCTTGAGAGCAACTAAGATGGACACGAATGAGTGCTTCATAATTCACAAGTATTCACGGGAACATACTTGCGAAGTGGGAATTTTTCGAAACGATCACAGGCAAGCTCGAGCATGATTTATTGGTCGACAGATAATGCACAAGTATCAGGACCCTTTGACGATCTACAGACCTTCGGACATCATTAATGACGTCCGTCAAGAGTATGGAATGGTCATGAGCTACCAGAAAGCCTAGAAGGCCAAAGAATGTGCTTTGGAGGATTTAATGGGATCGGCTGAGGAGAGCTATGCTAAATTGGCCAGGTGTTGCCATAATATGGGGAGAACTAATTCCAGCACGACATTTTTTATTGAGACGGGGAGCGATAATTGTTTTAAGTATTTTTTCATGGCTCTCGGACAATGTATTCGGGGTTTTCAAAATACAATGCGACCCGTAATTCTAGTTGATGGTACAACTCTGAAAGCTAAATATCAAGACAAATTAATTATTGCTACATGTCAAGACGCCAACATCCAAATTTACCCTATTACATTCGGCATAGTCGACAGCGAGAATAATCTGTCCATGCATTGGTTCTTTTCGAACTGAGGAAAGTGATCGGGGAAGTCGAAAATCTTGCCTTTGTAACCGATTGGGGACAGTCTATAATAAACGGTATCGCTGAAATTTTTCCAGAGGCACATCACGGGTATTGCATGTACCATATACAAGGTAATTTGAAAACTAGATATCAGGGCAAAGGCATCGTTTCATTGTTCAAGAGAGCAACCGAAGCTTATAGTGCTGAAGAGTGTAATAAATTCATATTTGAGATAGGAAGTAAATCATTACCGACGTTGGAGTATCTGACGAACATGGGGATCGAACATTGGGCGCGATCATACTTTCCAGGACGTCGATACAACATGATGACGTCGAATAATGCGGAGTCTCTCAATGCATTGTTTAAGAAGGATCGAGAGTTACCAATTCTCGCAATGATTGAGAACATTTGTAACAAGCTGCAACAGTGGTTTCATCACCGACGTGTGGCATCACAGAGTTGCATTAGCGTGCTGGCCCCAGTTCAAGAGGAGAAACTCTTTAAGGCGGCAGAGGTTGCGAGGAAATTGAACGTGAAAGCACTAGATGAGTTCCGCTTCTTCGTGCAATGTGCACGTAATACGGCATATATGGTGGACTTGATTGATAACACATGCACTTGTACGAGATTTCAGTTGGAGAGTTTTCCATGTGAGCATGCAGTTGCAGTGACCATGTATCGAGGCTTTGCAGCGAGAACGTTATGCTCTTTGGATTATACGACTGAGTCTTGGAGAACAGCATATGCTGAGACTATATTTCCTCTGTCGAATGAAGCTGAGTGGGAAGTTCCAGACCACATTCTCCCGTTTCATGATTTGTTGCCACCAGCAGTTGAACCGCGTGGTCCTGGACGTCCAAGTACATCTAAAATACCATGTACCGGAGAGTTCCCTCGACCGCGTAGGTGTGGCAGGTACAGAGCCATAGGGCATACTCGACAATTTTGTACCAGTCAAATTCCCCTAAATGACAATTAGACAGGTACGTTCAATATTTGTTCTTCATAAATGTTCAATGTTCAATATTTATCCTTGATAACCGGTATTTAAATGATTCATATGAAAAAATTAGTTCTATTCTCAGCATATGTGTAAAATAACAAAAAATCAACTTACAGAAAAATAATTATATAAATTAAATACAAATTTACAATTATTTCATAATAAAAAAATAATTAAATTTACAATGTGAATGTTATATACATCGAACACAAATTTACAATTATTTCATAATCACAAAAAATAATTAAATTTATAATTCGAATGTTACATATATTTAATACAAATTTACGGGTCACCATTAAATTCGAACAAATCACATACTAGCTTTTTTCTCCAGTTCTGTATCCACGATTGGTTGATTCCATCAACCTTATGTCCTATACTTAAAAATTTAACGTACTTAATGACAAATATGCTGCAGTCGCCGCTACAATTGAACAAAAATTGATCAGTTCAGTACTGTGTAGCTAAAAAACTAAATCTGAAAAATGAAAATAACAAAGTTCAAACATTTACCTTACGAATTGTCGCGATGTCGTCGTGTTCTGAACAATCCGCAATCTGTCCTGTACAGTCATCCCCACTTATCTGACCATCATAGGAACAATTACAGCTACGGACTCCAGGTTTTGCTCCAGCTGGCCTTGCGTCAAACTTGAATGATTTGGGTCGTACACATATATAGTCGTGTCAGCAAAAACGATTTCCAGCGTAACATAGTGCTTATTGATGCATGCTGGAATGTACATATGTGTACAACCCTCACATGATTTTCCCTCGACACTCGGCAACAATCCTATGACCCACTCGAGCATATATTCTGGCACCGTGTACTCGTTACCCATAAGTTGGAGCGACTGATACTCTATGGTAACGGTACGCAGGAACTCGGTGTTTAATATGACTTGACCATGGACGTCAAATGATTTTGGATGTCTCTGAGCTCGATCTCGCAGCAAGTCCATGGGCAGGTTGATGTGCTGTATCAAGAAACACCAAAAAATTATGAGTTATTCATTTAATAAATACAAAGTGACGTATACATACAAAACACGAAATGAATAGTTCACTTACATCGTCGGCAAGCCAAGCTCTCGAAGTCGTGATATCGTGGAACCACTTGTAAGCGTCTGAGACCGTCCGATTACCTATCGTGCGGGTAGCGCTAAAAAAATAGGGAAATGTTAAAATAAGCATAGACGAGTTAGCGTACAGTGCTTTATTAAAATCATAAAATACTTATCCGGGGATAATTCTCCTCCACTCCGTCTCGAATGCTTTCTACTTGGCATTATCCACCTCTCTAAATAAGTTCGGGTGCGTCCCATCGATAAACGTCCTCCTCTTGGCCTTAGCCATGAAGGGGGAAACAACATACTGTGACGGCACTCTCAACCTCTTGCCGACCACCTGCTCTGTCTCATTAACAGCATGTCTCTTACCCTCAATCACGATGGGCGTCCTCTCGCCCTCCGGGGCCACCTCCTCCATCGCCACCTCATCTGCCCCTCCCATCAGGACCACCCCTTCCATCGCCACCTCCTTTGCCCCTCCCATCGGGGCCTCCCCCTCCGTCGCCACCTCCTCCATTCCTCCCGTCGGTGCCTCCCCCGTCGCCCCCCATTGGGGCCATCCTATCCCCCTCCATAGACAACTAGAATGACTCTAATATCTCATCATACCAAAAATGTGGGTGACCCCCCTCTCCATCACCATCTCTGCCACCCTCTCGATCATCTCCACCATCCTCTCTGTCCCCCCATCGACTAACGGTTAAATCTCCTCTAAGTGTCCCTACCGCATCCTGAAGGTCGATAACGCAAGACCGTAGCATTCCAAGATCATGTGATAGATCATCAACCCTCAATGTCAACTCTCGTCCCATATCATTGACTCTTCCTATCAGATAGTCGACCTTTCCCGTCAGATCGTCGACCCTCTTGGTCAACTCTCATCCCAGATCATCGACCCTCTCCGTCAACTCTCGTTGTAGCGCGCCGACCTCCTCCGCTATAAATCCAGTCAGATGAGCATACAAATCATCACTGTGTATCGAAGATACACGGGGGACGTGTCTGGACGAGGGAGAAGGAGATACTCTCGGCGGTGGCGATGCCAATGGCGGCGGCGATGCCCTCGGCGGAGGCGATGTCAATGGCTGCGACGATGCCCTCGGCGGAGGTGATCGTTGATCAGCTGGACCGCCCTCCTACATAAATAACATTAAAAATTATTCAATAAATTTATACGTCGACGATATTCAATAAATTATATTTAATTCACATACCCAATCTCGGTCCAGGCTCGAATCAGACATCTCCTCGTCTTCGGTGTACAGAACGCCTACATCCCGCACAAGACCCCGAGCCTCTTCTTCTATCGACGACGTCAACTCAGGTATAACTTCAAGCTGACATATTGGCATTTCAACTAGTTAACGATCATGTAAACGGAGTTAAACTACGTATAATATAAATCACAAATTCATAATACTTACGTGAGGATCGTCGAGGAGGGCCGATAACTGTTTCCCAGTGGGGACATCCCTTCGCTCGCGATGATCTTCAATGATACATCCGAGGTCATCGTGTCTCCCCTCGCTTCGCGAAGCGAGCTCCCAGTGCAGGGACTGTCTCATACACCCAAATCTGCAACACATACATTTATTATTCATAAATATAATATACTAAAACTTTAACTTCAATTATATTAAACATTTACCTGCACCGCTAAGAGCAACCCATATGTATCATATTTACGCATTGACTCCCTGGGCCTCGAGTGTAATCTAGTGAAGACATGTACGATGTCTTCGTAGCATCTCCGGCCCCATGGATAGTTGTTGAACGCATTAATGTCGTCAACAACTTCCAAATGAAAAATGTCGATGATAGTCTTCTTGTGATGACACCTCATCACACTCTCGAGGATGTAGACCAGCCGAAGCTTCAATCTATCTAGCATCTGATCGCACCCCCTGATCGCGACCATCAACTCAGATAGATGCACAGAGCCATGTCCCTGGAAGTACGTCTCGTACAGCCTATTGCTTCTCTCAATGGCTGTATTGACGTCCGTAATTCTCAGTCCAGTGATCAAGCTAAACTCATAAATCGAGAAACTGACGACCTTACCCCCGAGGTCGAAGTGGAGGGAATCACCGTCGACTGGCCTTAAAAGCCGACATAGAAGTGCATCGATGATCTGTCCTGAGTACTGCATTTCTCGTATTTGGTATAGTGGCCACAATAAGAACTGTCGCAGCATATCTCCGTGATGATCATTAAGCAGCTACAACACCGCAGTAAAACTCTCAAAGCTACTGTTCAAAGTAGCTTTCCCCGCCATCCATCTCAACTCCTCATCTAAATGATACTCCATCCTGCAAAAATTCAAATGTTAGAACATTGAATAATAGATAATAAAGTAACGCATAATCTCAAAAAATCAAGGCAACCGAATTATAACTACCATACAATACGCAAGACATTTACACTAATAACAAAATAAATTCAATGCAAATTTAAAAATTAAAATAATTTAGTTTCTCTTGTATATTACATTTGGAAAATATATTTACAAAAAAAATTTCAAATTAAATACATTTAAAAAAAATAAAGAATATAAATTTTATTTAAATAAATTAGAACAAAATCAATGATTATTTCATAAAAGAAAAATAAAATGAACAAAATAAATTGTTAATTTCGGACAACATTATCTATTCAATTATTAAGTCATATAAAAAAAGGTAATTATAAAAAAAATTAACATAATTATTATTTAATCAAATTAATCTAGTAATCATTTAAAATATATTTACGAACAAGAAATTTCAAATTAAATAGATTTTTAAAAAATTTAAAGAACAAATATATTATCTAAATAAATTTGAAAAAAAAAATCTAAGATTATTTCAAAAAAACAAAAATAAAATGAACAAAATAAATTGTTAATTTTAGATAGTATTCAATTATTAAATTATATAAATAAAAGACAATTATAAAAATTAAATAAATAAATAAATAACATAATTATTTAATCTAATAAAAAAATAAATTAATTATAAAAATTGATAAAAAAAACAAAGAAAAAATTAAATACATAACAGTCAGTCTGGACCGACTGTTAAAAGTCGGCCCATGACTGTTTAACAGTCGGTCCAGACTGTTCACAGTCTATGGTCCGATTGTTAAGAGTCTAGATCGACTATTAACAGTCGTCGTCTTTTCTAAGTAGAAATCGTCATTGTCGACGATGGAGAGATCCAAAAATTACAAAAAATTCACATTTTTCATCCCAATATGACCCACAATTTAACTAGTAGTTACTCATGCATGAATTAAACAGAATAAACGTAAAAATAATGAATGAAAAAACTGAAACTTTTAATAAACTTCGAGTGCGAAAACTAACCGGAATAGTAGCGTGCAAGTCGTCGATTGAACGTTGGTGGTTTCGGCCAGCGGTTGATCGTTCGTTCTTCGTGCAACTGTGGCGTCGATTTTTTCGAAGGTCGACCAATTTGATTTCACTTTCTAACAGTCTGTATAGTGAAGAGATAAAATCGCTTTTTTAATGTAAAGTTATATTTTAATTTTTTTTATTTATTTAATGGGTCAATGACCAATATTAAAATTTGCTACAGTCCGAAGGTCATTTCCACATATTTTTCCTCCACTTTTTGGTCTCATATAACCAAAACTTTTCTACTCATCCCAACTTCCTCAATATGGATGCCTTCCCGGCCATCTTGGACGAAAATATAAATGATGTGCCGCCGCCGACCTCCACTGCAGCGATTGAGGAGGCCACCTTACCCGCCACCGCCACACCGGACACCAGATCCGAGCCCGTGAACAGCATCAAAGAAGAACCAGAAACTCTCGCGTCCGAAGAAATTTCCTCCGACGAAATCTCCAACCACGGAACTCCAATTGCTCCGGAATCCGACCAGAATGGATCCCAACAGTCCCCGATTTCGCACCCTGATTCAGAGGAAGAAGAAGAGGACGAGGAGGAGGACGACGACGACGAAGAAGAAGAGGCCCCACCTAAGAAGCAAAAACAGCTATCGGATTTGCCTAAACCTGAACTCCTAGAGAATGATATTGCCGAAATACCCTCGGCCATGGAAGGAGCTACGCCCCCAGCTCAAAATGGAAAGGCTACAGCTGCGAAGACGAGCAAGAAGTTGAAGAAGAAGAACAAGGATGTGTGGACGACGACCACAAGGAAGGGGAAGAAAAAGGCCAAAAACGCCTCCAATGGAAACCACAGTTCCAAAAATACCACGGGTACCAACACGGCAACTGAAGATAAGGTTTTGATAACCCCTATCCCGAGGTTCCCTGACAAAAGTGATGATAGCCCGGATTTGAAGATTTGCCTGTCGAAGGTTTATAAGGCTGAAAAGGTGGAATTAAGCGAGGATAGATTGAGTGCTGGCAGCACGAAGGGGTACAGAATGGTTAGGGCGACAAGGGGGGCTGAAGAGGGCGCATGGTATTTCGAGATTAAGGTGGTGCATCTGGGTGAGACAGGGCATACAAGGTTGGGGTGGTCCACAGATAAAGGGGACTTGCAGGCTCCTGTGGGGTATGATGGGAATAGCTTTGGATATAGGGATATTGATGGGAGTAAAGTGCACAAGGCATTGAGGGAGAAGTATGGGGAGGAAGGATATAAAGAAGGTGATGTTATCGGTTTTTATATTAATTTGCCAGACGGAGGGTCCTATGCTCCTGATCCTCCACGCATGGTTTTGTACAAGGGCCAGCGGTATGTTTGTGCTCCCAATCCCAAGGAGGACCCCCCAAAAGTTGTGCCAGGTGAGTGAAGCATTAATTTCGGCAATGCAGGTTATTTATTGCCTATTTTTGTTCTTTTATATTTGCTTCTTGTATAGATGATCATTATTGGAAGAATGTTGGTTTTACTTATGGTCAACTGGTATTATGGACCGCGTGTGCTTTATACTGGAACTTAGCCAGTGGTAATCGACTGATGTTTTCCTGTTAGCTGTATCTTTGAATTTTCAAGTATGATTTGTTCTAGTTAGTATTGTTTGTGGGCCATTGAGTTGTTCAAGGAATTTGCTTGTAGCTATTTAGCATTTCTCATTGTAGCAATTCACAACTGCATGGCAGATGGGACGCCACCCAGCAATGGCATTCTGTTGTAGAATATTTTTTAGTGAATGAGCCCATTCTGCTGTTGCTGATCTTTCTTCTTGTTCGTGTATATAACTGCTCTCTTTGGTTATATTTATCTTCTGTCTTTCTCTTTTTCTTCCTGTTCAGAGTTTTCTTTGCTGTGGTATCGGAACTTTGAGTTGTATGGTATTTCTATGTTGCATTATTATCGTATCTCTTTTTTTAAGTCCGTGAACATTGAATAACTGAAAACTCTAAGCAATGCAATATTTTTTATCCTATTGATATATGGTATCACCTGACCTTCTAACAAAGTAACAAGAGTTTTTGCATTTATTCTGGTTTAATATTAGCATAATGTTATTTGTTACACATTTCTTTTGAGAAATATTAGCAGTCTGCTTTCTTAGAAGCTCAGTTCTCAGATATGTAGTTCTTGTGTTCAGAAGCCTTTTTGCTGAGTTCTAGTAAACTGTTGCTTCTGCCGTGCAGGAAGTGAGATGTCCTTTTTCAAAAATGGTATATGCCAAGGTGTTGCTTTCAAGGATCTTTATGGTGGTCGTTACTATCCTGCAGCTTCAATGTATACTCTTCCGAACCAACCCAATTGTGTTGTCAAGTTCAATTTTGGTCCTGATTTTGAACAGTTCCCAGATGACTTTGGTGAACGTCCTGCCCCAAGACCAATGATTGAAGTTCCTTATCAAGCTGTTGATGGCAGAGTTGAGAATGGTGTGTCCAGTGAGAAGAAACAGTAGCTATTAAATCTCGTCACTTGTCTTTCAGTTATATAGGAATTAGTTTTCGTTTTTTTTTTGTTGTAATTTTGTTAACTGTCAATGACATGGCTGACATATAAACAGTCAATTAGTTGATAAATCAACTCCTATTAGAAGTGTGACTAAACATTCCTCTGGCCTTTTTACCCTCTGAGGGTGGATTGGCAGAGTAATTAGCTGTAGATGGAGCTAAGAGGAAAAATGTAGTCACATGGTTGCGTCAAGTAGTAGAGAAGAAGGATTTTCTGCGCTGAGGGTCTTTTTAAAGTATTTTAATATTGATTGACTGCATAGGATTCTTAAAGGTGTTGCATTAGCAAAACTACTCTCTTGTAACCTTTTTGGATCTAAAATTTGTTGCCTTTGGCACTTGTATTCCTTAGAATTTTATTTTCATTGTGCAATGATCTAGTGGCTCTAATCTGGTCATCGGTCTTGTTTAATTTTTCTCATTCACATGACCATAATTTTGATAGAAAATGCCAGTTTTTTCTTCTTCTTTTTTTTTTTTTTTTTTGGTTTCTAACTAGTATTGTCTTCCTTTTTTCATTTTTCATTTTTTTTTCTTTTTCTTTTTTTTTCCATCAAAACATAAGGTGCTTTATTCCTTCTCTGCCTCTTCCTTTCCCATCCCCTGTTTTAACTTAATAGTGTACCTCTGTTCTTTGTTTAGAGGAGAAGAGGGTAGGTGGATTTTAAATAATGCGGACCTACTCTCTGATGACAGGTAGTCCATGGAATATCACCAGAATGAGCCCCATGTACAAAGTGGTAAAAGGGAATACTACTGCTGAAATGGGTGATCAAGCTTGAGGAATACACTCAGGTTGGTTATGTTCAAGCTACTTGGCTGTGTCTACTATCTGTTTTTGTCTTGCCTGATTATAGATTGTAAGTATGTGGAGTAACTGAATCTTTTGGTGTGAGGACAATCTATGACGCCTGTAGCATGTTTGTAATGTGGGTTGATCATTACTAGCCACTACACTAGACAGAATAAAGAAGAAAAAGTAGTCCATTGTACTGTCCAATTTCTTATCAAATGCTATGTATCCAATATGTCGCTGGTGTACAGTTCAAACCAGGGGGTTAATGTCAATAGTAGCTCCATGTTTCATATTTTTTCTTGTGCTAGTACCAATCTATCTTTCCTTTTTCGATGTAAAATTTGCATTTCTTTTCATTAGCACTGTACTCCATTCAATTGAAAATGTTTTTACATCACATCTATGGGCACACAAGTTTTTGCAGCTTTTCAATTTCTTCTCAACCAGACATCCACGTTAAGCTGAAACATTCAATTTCACTTTGGGATGGAGGAAATATCACTTTTCCCACAGACTTTTCCTTGAATAAATATTAGTATGCAGTGAATTTTTTAATATTAATTCCTTACTTACCTTTTCCTTTGTAAGGAATTAGACTAAATTAGGATGATAATACTATAAAAACTCATTTTAACTTTGCATTCTTTGTAGAATGAAGGTAATAGAGATAAATGTTATAGGTCTGGATGTGGTGGGATACTGGGAGGTATAAAGTAATACTTTCTGGTCTACCTTACGTAGCAAGAAAAATGGAGATTGCTGATTGACAATAGAGTCAATAGTATATTAACTTAAGATTGAAGTTCTTGGTAACTTAACAAGAACTATTGACAACTCCTCTGTAAAGTTTGTTAGAAAACAACGATTTCATATTGTTGGTAATGTTGGACACCAAATGATGTTCTGTCACACGTTGAAAATCCATCAGTAACTTTTGGAAACAAAATAATATCATATTGCATAACACTCCACAGATATATTTGGTAAAAAAAAAAAAAAAAAAAATACATTAGTTGGTCAATAATTTGGAAAGTAGGGTGAAAGTACACCCTTGTTTTTTCCTATGGAAGAGGCTTTAACAAAATTTTCTTTAGAATTGATAATGATGTTTTGCATTCTTCGTGCCATATCATGTAATAGTAACTACATCCAATTTACTAAAAGATAGCAGAAAATTCTCCTTTTTCTGTCGCCTATTTTCATTTCCGTATCATCAATTACTTGACATGTTTTCTTCACATATAGAGAAAGCAAAAACAGAAAGAAGGCTACACAGCACCCATAAACTAAATAAAGAGAAGGCAAAAACACGTAAAGATTCTCTTCATTAACTTAGCATCAAGCTGCACGAATACGTTTTTTAACCCACTGTCAATATTGAAAGGTTAGTGGTTTATTCTTTGTTCATGAATACCATTTTGGCTCCTTGGTTTAGGGATCAAGTGGGAACAAAGTTGAAAATGACCAGTAGACTGTGTTCAAGTTGCTAATATTAGGGTTCGAGTGCCTAAACTTGGTTGATTTTAGATAATGAGGTCTGTGTACTTGTTATATGTTAAACAAGAAAACTCTGACCTTGTCGAATAGTAGTAATAGGGTCTAGTGGCTTTGTCTCCTGGAAAATATGATGTAATAAAGCAGTTTACTCTAGTCAAGTCAAGTATTGATAGTTGATTCGGTTCGTTCACTTAGAAAATTTGTCAGGTTACAATATTAGGCTTCGAATGGACATTCACTTAGAAAATATACAAAGGAAACTTGGCTTGGGGTAGAGTTCCGCGTGATCAACAAATGTTGTCAAAACTGGACCAGACTTGCTGTGCGCATGGTAAGATTTTTGCAATTTTAGCCTTTTAGGTGAAAAGATGGAAAATTGATAATTGAAAACCACTTAAAACTGGTGAGCGCACCTTAGATTTTGTTGTTTTATTTTTTAAAGCTTGCTTGATACAGATTTTTTCAAGTGAAAAATGATTTTTTTTTTCAGAATATGGTTTTAAAGTGGGGGAAAAGTTGTGGGTCCCATTGATTTTGGAGAAAAAAGTGCTAGTTTCTTTACCATTGCTTTGACTACTTGACCCTTTTTCCTAGTCGCTGCTTGGACCGGTTTTAAGACATTGGTGATGGAATTGGCTTCTTTACTTTGAAAATATTCTTATCAAAGCAAATTTACTATTTTGGTTAGGTAGAGGTACAAAGGGTTGAGTGTGCTTGTTCACCTCGAAGATATGCTAAACAAGGCAACTTGACCCCATTTGGATAGAGGTACCAGGTATGAGTGATCGAGTTGGTTTGCACGTTTATAAGTTGAGCAGAGTAACTTGACCCAAATCCAGTAGATAAATTGGGATTTGAGCATAATTTTGGTAATTTGAAGTAGACAATTCGAAATAATCAAGAAGGTAGCTAGATGTTACGGACCGCAAGGTCGTGACTTAAGGCTTGGCATGACACGGGAATGTTATGGCACAAAGTGGGAAAATGAGATAGACTTATGGCAAATAAGGTCTAGGCTTCGACGGTATGCGATGAGGGTGTCGTCAAATTCAGTGGGGGAGTGACTTATGCCCCACACGGTCTCGATCAATCCGTCCCAGTAGCGGTCGCAAGACAGCACGGGTAACGCATTCAGCAGGACAGAACAGCTCACGATAGAGGGACGCAGGTAGACCCAGGCTGGGGACGCATGTAGATTGTTTTGGGCAGAATGCAGGCTGCCTAAATCGTACTATTTTCCAGCACACTTATGAGGTTTTTCAAAGTCCCGAACCAGCCATTTTGGGAGGAAAAGTATATGGACTTGCAGCGGGATATTTTGGGATGCAAGTGGGCAACTTGCACAACTTGTCCATTTGTGTCACTTGCAAGATATTATCAATATGCAAGCTAAGATTGAGTTGGCAAGAATAAATATCAACAATGCAAGCTAAGCACGAGTTGTATGCAAGCTAAGATTGAGTTGGCGCCAACTTGCAAGGAACATGGTAGAGAATGTCCACTTGACAACAACTAAGCACGAGTTGTAACCAACTAAGCGCGAGTTGTAAAGTGGAATGTTTAAGGAGGTTTAAGTTTTGCCTATAAATAGAGATGTAAGTCTCATTTGTAAAGATATGTAGTAAATGTAGATAATATAGAGTGAAGTGAGTTTATTCATTAGAGAGATTGTAAAGTTTTCCCCCTTCATTTATACAAAGAAAGTTTCCTCATCCTACTTGCTTTCCTCCAAAATTCTCTTCTTAAAGTGGTTATAATTTAGTCTCATTGGTTAAATTATTTGTGAGTGTAGAAAGACTGACTTAACGTTTTCTCGTGAGAGGCGGGAATTGTCTAACGTTAAGGCCGCACGGTTTTAGTTTGTTCGGGTGTAACGAATCTAGGTCCGTGACAAGTGGTATCAAAGCAAGGTTCACGTGGGGTTACACTAATTTTTCATCTCAGAGGTGAGGTGATGTCTGTGTAAGGTTCACGTAGGGTGGACTACGGAGACAATATCAAGGCGAAGGTTTGGTTGTGGTAACCAAGTGCGGCTGTGGTAGCCAGATTCGCCGGAGATTCTTGGAAGCTAGATTTGGGTGAGGTGCTCAAATGGCAGAATCTCAAGAAACTGTTGATATTGAGATTGAGGAGATGGGTTGAGGTGCTGCTCAAACTGAAGTAAGGAAAACTCGAGGCAAAAGTAAGGTGAGGGAAGCCACCAACATGGAAGGGAAACTTGACCAAATCATCGCAAATATGGGTGATCAAGTCGAATATCTTGAAAGCTCCTTCGAGGCGTTGGAGGGACACGCCATTGGAAAGCTAGAAACCCTACAAATTAATGTCCAAGAGGTGATGGACACACAAGTATTGTTGGAAAATGATATCCAAACGATGAAATATGATGTTCGAGCTGTGATAGCCGGACAAGCTGCGGTGACGGATGATTTTGGTCGTCTCCAAACCAAAGTCTTGGATGTTGTTTCTGCCATGCATGGCCAAGTTAACCAATTGGCTGTGATGATGGAAAGAATGAGCAAAGAGCTTGATCAATACAAGCACTCCACTACCGGTACAAGCGGAGGTGCCGCTTCAACTATTGTTGCCCCGAGGATTGAATACCCGAAGCCTAAACATTATGATGGACGACGGATGCCAAAGATGTGGAAAACTTCCTATGGCAAATAGAAGTCTACTTTGAAGGTGTAAATCTTGTTGATGAAGCCATGAAAATTCGGACCGCTTCTATGTATCTCTCGGATATTGCGGCGTTGTGGTGGCATCATAAGCATGGTGAAATTGCAAGGGGGGCTTGTACAGTTGATACTTGGGATGAGTTCAAAAGGGAAATAAAGAGGCAATTCTACCCGGAGAATGTTGTCTATGAGGCCCGCAAGAAATTGAGGGAATTGAAACATACGGGAACAATTCATGACTATGTTAAAGAGTTCACGACCCTTATGCTTCAAATCCCAAGCATGCCGGAGGATGATTTGCTATTCTATTCTCTAGACAGTTGTGCAACATGGATAAGACAAAAGTTGCAATGTCGTGATGTCAAAATCGTAGACGATGCAATTGCAGTAGTCGAATCCTTGACGGAGTTTGAAGAAAGTCTTGAGACCGAAGCTAAAACTATCAAACCCGCCAAAGAAAATTTTGGGGGTAATAAGGAAGATACAGGGAAAGCCATGCAATGGAGTAAGCCGAATTTGAGGCCAAATCCCAAAGTTGATTACAAACTCGGTGGCAACAAACCAAATACTTGGAGTAAGCAATATGATGAGAAGAAGAGGAGTAATTTTACACCTCGAGGTTGCTTTATTTGCAAAGGACCACATCTCATGAGGGATTGTCCTAAGTTGGGATCATTGGTATCTATTTCCATTTCGGAGAGCAAACCGGAGGCTATGGATAGCCAAGACGAGGATGAAGTTCGAATGAATTCATTCCAGCTGTTTAATGCTACGAGTGTCGAAATAGTTTCTGGGGAGATGGAAACACAACAACTGTCAGGGTTGCAGTTAGCTGAAGTCCTTGAAGGTGATAAGGACATTATGCCCACGGAGTTGTCGAGGGAACTATCGAAAAAGAAGGAAATTGAGGAAGCATTGTCAAAGAAGTCCGAAATTAGGTGCACGAAGGTTCAAAGCTTCGACAGGTGTGGGGACACTACAATCGTAGGAGTTGTCCATCCCATCCGAGGAACCAAGGTAGAGGTGTTAAGGGTGAAGGTTGGTGTCAAAGGTGGCATGCAAGAGGTTGCAACAGGAAGAGGTGCAAGGGGCACTGTGGAAACTCGGTCATCGAGGAGATGGTGCCGCAAGTTGGGAGAACTTTGATGCCCATTGACAGGAACGACAATGCAAGGTTGCATGAG